AAACCTCTTGTCGTCAACGTATACGTTTAAACTCCAAACCTTTCCGTCTTTCGAAGAACGACGTAGTAACCACATGCGTCGAAGTTTCCAATCCTATCGGACCTGTTGAAGTACGACGTATTAACCACATACATTGAATGTTCCGACCAGTCCATCACAAGCCTTGTCAACAACGTGTTAACCATACACGTTGAACGTCCGAACCTTTCCATCCTTCGGAGAACGACGTAGTAACCACATGCATACGTCGAAGGTTCCAATCCTATCGGACTTGTTGGAGTACGACGTATTAACCACATACGTTGAACGTTCCGACCGGTCCACCAACCCAAACCAATATTACGCTCCGTGTGAGGACACAAGCGTAACTCGTAACATTACAAAGAGATGAACTGGAACGAAGAGAAATTTTTATCTCCTCAAAAGAAGATTATTTTTGGATAAAATTTATATCAACATTTCAAGAACATAGTTAAAAATTCAACACGTGTGTTGGCAGTGTGCAATTTAAACACGGAGAGCAAACGTGAAAAAGCGTAACTCGTAACATTACAAAGAGATGAACTGGAATGAAGAGAAATTTTTATCTCCTCAAAAGAAGATTATTTTTGGATAAAATTTATATCAACATTTCAAGAATATAGTTAAAAATTCAACACGTGTGTTGGCAGTGTGCAATTTAAACACGGAGAGCAAACGTGAAAGAAACACGAAACAAAACCTTGGGGAAATTTACACCAAGTTCCTTCGTCAAATTGATATATCGATACGAACTTCTCCCATGCATTTATTAAAGTGCAACGTACCATTTTTATTCTGAATAATTTCCTAGTATTTTTTTTTTCCTTTTTTTCATTTTCTCTCGTTGGTGTATTGTTCAGAAACGTGCAGTCGATGCGATGAAAAATCTATTCGATTTTTATTAAACGTTGCTGTACATACAAAACAGCTGCAATCTACCATTTTTTTCCTTTCCGTCAGAACAAACTACGATCGAATTTTCACGGTTGTCGAACAAAAATGTCGAAACGATCTCTCCAAGGTAAACACGATACAAGCACACTTTACCAGCGATAAAATTGAAGAAAAAAAAAGACGTGTATTTTCGAAAACTCTGTAAACTGTTTCCCCTTTTGTCACGAATCTCGAAAACCAAAGCTACATTTAGCGATATGTGATCAATCGAAGCTTTTCGTTTCTGTCGTTTGTCAATTTAACTTACACTAGAGAGTGCACCAAAATTTGTCGCTTTGAAAAAATCTGTCGAAAGTTACATTACGTTTATTTAAAACTTTTTAGAAAATTCTGGTCTAAATTGGATGTTTCTTTGGAAAGGGATTACGAGAATTAATTTTAACAGTGAGATATGTATATTTGCGTTCTACCTTGCCACGTGTTAATGTGACAGTGCCACTGTGCTTACCAAGACGTTTATTTTATTTACCAGAGGAGCTGCAATGAAATTCATCTCATGCTCACGGAGAATCTAGCTACACGTTTAAAAAATACAACACCGAGTTACCTGATGTATAAAGAAACTCTTCTCCATACGGGAATAGAAGAAAGTCACCTTTGAAATATTTAAACTAACCTCAGAATTATGATGGAAGATAGAAATGTGTTATTTTATAATTTCCGGTATTTTAAAGATTGTTGCTGAGTGGCGAATTTAAACAAACGTTTAGTAAAGTTAAGAAGGAAAAATATGAAAAGTATAACAAATGACGTATCTTAAAGATATGGTTACAGAACTCCTCGCTGAATTTTTCGATTAAAAAAAATTAAAATACTTCGGTAGAACGTCTATGAAACTCCATAAAAATAAATTCATTCCAAATGAAATTATTTACATTTGCTGAATTGCGCATGTTTCGTATGAACAATTACGAGAAAAAGCCATGCGTGGAAAATGTATTATTTGTTCCAATTACCAACAAAACTACTCCCATTTTATAAAAAGAAAAAAAGAGAATAAACGTTGAAACATTGCAACGGAATTACCTTGCACAAAATAACAACCTGTAAAAAATAAAAAAAATAAAAACAGTCGCTGGCTCTCCGGAAATTTCGAGCGCAGAAAAAAAAAACTGTAAAAAGCGCCGCAAGTACACACGTCTCCGCCTCGAACAGCCGAAAGATCGCTATCGATCGTCGAGGAAGGAAAGAAGAAAAACAAGCTGCCGTGCATTACGAGGCAGCATCGTATATGCCCGACCCACAGGGAGGAAAAGTACGAAAGAATGAGAGACAGAAGAAAGAGGACACAGACAGAGAGAAAAGAGAGAGATGTCTTCAGAGAGAGAGAGAGAGAGACAACGTTTTCAGAGTGAAAAAGTGAATCAGAGAAGTAAATGAGTGAGAGAGAGAGAGAGAGAAATTATGTCTTCAGAGTGAAAGAGTGAATGAGTGAAGAGAGAGAAACGCAACGTTTTCAGAGTGAAAAAGTGAATCAGAGAAGTGAATGAGTGAGAGAGAGAGAGAGAAATTATGTCTTCAGAGTGAAAGAGTGAATGAGTGAAGAGAGAGAAACGATGTCTTCGGAGCGAAAGAGCGAATGAGAGAAAAGAGAGAGAGAAACTGTCTTGAGAGTGAAAGAGTGAATGAGAGAAGAGAGAAGCGATGTCTTCAGAGAGAAAGGGTGAATGGAAAAAGAGAGGAAAAATGTCTTCAGGGATAAAGAGTGAATGAGAGAGAAGAACTTCTTACTCGCCGCAGCGAGGAAAGTGGACATGTGTAAGAAAGTGCATCAGTCTGATGCGGCAAGACTCGCGTTATACGAACGTCCTGACGTGAGTAATCGAGTCGCGCAGCTGCTTTTACCGGAATCCGCCAACGCCAAGCAGTCTGGCCGCATCTCGAGCAACTTGGTCCAGAGCCTTCGTGGCATCCGGTTTGAGCCGCGCGAGCGTATGTCACGATGGCCGGTGCAGTGAACATTCGATTTCGTAACGAAGGGGATGAAACACGCGGAGAGAGAGAGAGAGGAACGACCAGGCGAAATGATTTTGTTCGCTTTGAACGCCTTGTTACTCCCATTTCTGTTTCTAACTCGGGTAAACCATGGAACGAGATCGAAGGAATGGAACGGAATTGTCAAATAACTTCCTGTTTGGAAATGTTCAGATATACAGGTAAAATTGGTAGACGAGAAATTTGCTGAGATTTTTAGAAGTATACAGAGATTGGATTTGTAATTCCTTTTTTTTTTATTTTTAGGGATTACCGAAATTTTGAAATTTGTGAGAGAATCGATTAATTTGATAGGTCACTGTTGCATATATTAGAATATTTAACCCTTAACTGCAAATCACTCGCCTCATAGACGACGCTAAATTTTTATTTCACAATCAAGCGTGCAGAGAATTTTTCAATTTAATTGATAGATGATACAAACTTCCATAAAAGAAAAATCATATATCGATATTAAAAAGTGTATCGTTAAATAAAATAGGTGATTTGATAAATAAAATTGTCAAGTAGTCTAATCTCAGTTGATGTTTCAAAGGTAATTACCTACAGTTAACGGTTAACTTCTACTCTTAGGCAATAAATTTCTATTCTCAAGTGCTCCAACGTTATAATCAACACCGAATCGAAAAGCTCTCGTTAACACTTGGACAGAAATGAGATTAATCTGGAAACTCGTACACCGCACACAATATCAAAGATTCCGGTGCGGTAACGAACACTGATGGCTCTAAAACTCACGGGACCACATATCGACCACTTCGAATTCGTGAACACCATCGACCATGAAACTCACGGGACCTGACATCGACAACTTTGAATTCGTGAATACCGTCTATTATGGGACCCGTGAGACCTGACATCGAGGACAACCGAATTCGTGAATACCAACGAGTTGGGGACTCACGAGACCAGATACCGAACGATTCTACACTCGTAAAAGTCGACATTAACGTCCCTCTACGCGTGAATTTTCGCACGAACGACTCTGAATTCGTGAGGGTAGACTCAATAATTTGGAACTCTGCAGAAACTCGCATTTTATCGTTCCTGAAAATCGTGTGTTTCGTGAAACTTCGTAGATTCCCAGAATGACAAATTAGATTATATTAATTTCTTCTCAAATTTAGAATTTTTATAAAATATTTTAAAGCATTCACAGCGTCTATTTATTCTCTGTATCTTTAAATACTAGAGTTCTACACACCTCGAACTTTTCATCTACAAAAAGCAAAAATTCTGAAAGTTCCAAAAGAGGAGAGAGCGTTGAACGATGTTTGGCAAGATCGTGGGTGTAATACATCTCGACGGTGTAAATCAACCCTTAAACAGCACCGGTTAATATTTGCCAAGACGGTGAAGTGTAACTAGGGACTTGTGTAAATTGAGCGTAAGGATGAAACGTATCTTGATCCCCTCGAGATTGAGCGGTAACATACGATACGCATTCTTAGGCGACCGCCAGAAGTGAAAAGATTAATGAACAAGCATGAATGGAAAAGAAACGCTCGAAATGCTTTGACGTGGTTTTACGGGGTTGCGCAGCGTGAGAATTCGTTCTGCTCGTGGATTCTTCACGGATTCTGATTGCCAAAAAAGCTGACACGGTGTTTCTTCTTCGATCACAGCGTGATCGTGAAATCATCGAATGATAGTTCAAACCCTTGTTCAAAGACTTTGCAAAAGAAATACGAAAAAACTGCGTGTAAAATTGCTTCGTAATTATTTCTCAACGAAAACAATTTCATCGAAATAATTCATTTACTCTTGTTCGTTACTCTTAATGAATTATTTTAACGCGAAAATTACAAAACACAATGAAACAGTAAGAATTGCAATACTTTCGTTATAAAAAGCCACGCCTTTTTGTGTCGATTCAATTGTCATTCCAACGAAGTAGCAAAATTAAAGCAGAAGAAGCAATCTATTTACACCCTTACATTAATTCCGATCTACGATTATCAATTAATATAGACACTTGGATGTCGATAAATTCTACAAATGAAATATCTACTGATGAGAGTGCGACTTACTTTTCTTGCCACTTTTTCTGTCGTTCCTTATCCTTTTTTTTCCGTTTCGGTTTCAAGGCCGGGTCGTAAGCGTCTCCCTTCATCTGAAACTTTGCCCTCTGCACAGCCAACGTTTTACCCCTGATTTGCGACTTATCCAAGAGTTTTAACGCCAAATCCACCGATTCGACCTGAATGGGAAGAAAAAGAAGAAGAAAAAATGTGAAGAAACAAAAAGTTAATTAAATGCAAGAGACAGTAGGTCGAAAGAAACGCGGTACATAGAGGCGACCGATGTGTCCTTCCCTACAGCGCGTCGTTTCAAAGGAAAAATATATCTTCGAATCCCCTTCATCCCCGTCATCTCGTTCGTTCAATTTCACCCTCAACCTTATACTTCTATACCTCTAAAACTAATAAACACACAAATATCCTTCAGCTGTTTCGCCCCAATTAATCATCTTATCGTATCATTCGTTAATTCATTTCTTGAGATACATTACCTTCCAGTTTCTTTCGCTATCGTACACTTTTTGTACTCTTCACGGCGATATGCTGAGCGAGCCACGTAAATCGGGCCACCTAATTATCTTCTACAGCCATGGTGGTACGAGAAAACTTAAATGGTTTCAAAAGGTAAATCAGATGGAAGGAAAATTTGAAAATCCGAGAAAAAAATTTTAGAGACCTTGAAAAGAAGATTGCATTTATGAGACAATTTCTCTCCCATCTCGTTCACACTTTGAAATTATTCGAATCACATTTTTTCGTACGTCATAACTGGAGCAGATAATTAGGTTACCTGTTTTACCTGGTCCAGCTTGCACATCACTCCTAAAAATTGATTTCCTCCATCGCCATGCTGCAATTCTATTTATCGAGCCCCTCACCGACATCTGGTTACTCAACACGAAATTTCGCATTTAATTGAAAATTTCAAGTTTCAACGAAACACACGCAGAAGGAATGACTTTTTTCCCCCCCTAACCGAGGTACTTCGAATCTCGTGTAAAGTGGCAATCGACAACGGCAAAAACATCTGCGAGACGGCATCGCCATCAATTTACACTCCACCATATTAATTAATTCGTCCTCGCCGCTTACAAATAAATCAACGTTGACTTTCAAACGACTGCGATGACTTATGAAATGAGAACACGAAGGGGGAACGATACGGTTTTTGCAGGGGCATATACCATCGGTAATTAACGTGCAACGCGAAAGAAAGGAGGCAGTAGTCGCTTAACGCCATGAAGTTCACGCGTATTCCATCAAACGGAAGGTCTGAAGATTCGGTAACTTACTCGAACACATGCATAAAAAAAAAAACGAAGAAGAAGAAAAAAGCCATTAATGTAATCACTCACGACCTATATTTCATCTTATTAAAACTCTTCGATTCTTCTTCTTCTTCTTTTCTTTATCTCGATAAGATTAAACTTTTTCTCGTCGGATAAAACAGTTTCGTTAAATCAAGTGGGTCGTGCGCGAGGTGAAAGATACATTCGTAACACTGAGAATTTCCATGAATTACAGAGACACAAAAGAAAATAGGACGTAACGTGAAGTGTGAAAGCGACTGGAAACCTTTAACTTAGAAAAAACTACGAGTAATATACCAGCTTCCGATCGTTTCATCGAACTAGACCATCTTCGTCAGAAATAGAAATCACATTTGCAATTATCGAAACACGAAATTCATAGTCACTTTCGACTAGTCAAACGCACGAGAAGTAAGTCTAACTTTCTCGCAAGAGATACGAAAACTTCTTATCAAATGCAACATGAGAGGATGAATATCGCTGAAGAAGAGAAAAACAATTTCAACCAATAAAACTGAACGTCGCTGCGAGTCGTTTCGTTAGAAACAGATCGTATTTATTCAAAACAGAAAAAATACCGTCTATCGCGCGGTGGTAATTGCTCGTAATAGAAAATGAAGTCCGCGCGTTTTACCACGACCGTCATTCGAGCCACGCAAAAATACCAGACATGTACGCACTAGAAATAGCGAATACCAGCTCGTATCGCAGAAACAGCAAGAACCGGTAGTTCTGTCAGATTTATTTTCAAACTGCGCGCCAGTTTCAGCCGCGTTGGGACACTTTTAACCGTGACTTCATATCGTTAACTGACGGGACGAGACTCGCAAAAAGATGACCGTGTCAAATCTCGAACGTGAATTTTCTCCTAGACGCATGTTACAGAAGGACACCAAGCATACACGGTGCTTCGGAAATAGGTGGGCAAACTATGGTGTCGTGTTCTATCCTTTCCTTTCTTTCTTTCTGTTTTCGGTCTTAACCCTTTCGACAGTTTATGTGAGACTCGGGCAGAGCGTGAAATATCTGAGCGTTTAACTCGAGAGAGACTCGGAAAGGGACGAGATGTTATTGTCATAACTATGACGTGTTTTAAATATGAAAAAGATACGCGTAAACTCTAAAAATTTTTTACCGTAATTTAACTATCAAACGTTTGGACAGAAACTGATTTACCTTGAATATCAGGATGACTTGCTCTACTATAATATTTGCTTCCAAAGTGTCGACAATGCGCGTAATTCTACGTGTGACCGTTATTCGTGTAAAATTTCGAGATGAAGAAAAAGGAAGAAATCGTGAAAAGGAAGAGTTTTCGGATCTACGACATATGACCTTCTCTCATCTTTAGAGAGAGTAGAATACGATAGCAAAGTTTGGCCGCTTATTTCTGAAACACCTTGTATATGACCAGGAATAAATCAATCGCTCGCTTATCTGCTGCTATTTTTCCAGCAAGATATCGAATCACTCGATGTGCTCGTTCGTTCATCTTCGGTATCTCGCGTCGAGACGCTTCTGAACGATTTCTTGGTTAGCGAAATATGGGACAGAGATGAGAACGTTATATGACGGATAAAAATATCGCTGTAAATTGAACATGATAATTTCTCGACTGTGAGTGTTTGAGGTTGAGGAACGATTCACGCAGCGCAGAAGCACGCCTAACCTTTTTTCTTCTTTTTTAACGTATCATTGCTACTATCTTCTGGTATACACGTAACTTCGTGTTTCGTAATTTTTATATTCTATACATGGCGAAGATCGAATAAAAAAATCGTAAAGCAATTTAATATTCGCTAGATGTACCCATTCGTGTCTGATATTTTATTCATTCTCGGCTGGGAGAGGAGATCGTCTAATAGTTGTGAGCTGCTCGATGTAAATTTCACGGAGAACTAGTCTTTACGGATGAAACTAAATGTCCCAATCCTGTATGTATTTTAATTTCATTGAATTCAATTAGAGTCAACTGCAAACATTTGCAAATTCTAGCATTCCTCTCGTATCGTGTAATGTGTGTTCTAACTATTTTTCTATGTAAACTAGTTTTCGATTTATTCAGGTAACATCTTCTATCATTCACTGCAATATCGTTCAATCTCTCGTTAAAACCTTGTTACACGATATTACCGAAATCTAGAAGCTAGTACGGTTTTTTGAGTTTTTTTTGACCCGAAGTTTGGATCAGTCTTTGGGGTTATTTTAGTCCGAAGTTTGGGTCAGTCTTGGGGTCTTTTTTGACTGGAAAATTGGGTCAGTCTGTGGATCTTTTTTGACGCGAAGTTTAGATCAGTCTTTGGGTCTTTTTTGACCCGAAGTTTGGGCCAGTCTTTGGGTCTTTTTTGACCCGAAGTTTGGGTCAATCCCTTTGGGGCTTTTTGACCCGAAGTTTGGGTCAGTCTTTGGGTCTTTTTTGACCCGAAGTTTGGGTCAGTCTCTTTGGGCCTTTTTGACCCGAAGTTTGGGTCAGTCTTTGGATCTTTTTTGACCCGAAGTTTGGGTCAATCTTTGGGTCCATTTTACCACGAAATTTGGGTCGGTATTTGGATCTTTTCTGACCCAAAAAAAGTCGAACGAAAGAACGCGCTAAGATATTAACGAACGAAAGCTTGAAATGTTCCTCCGGTAATTTCCTTTCCGTAAAAAGGAAACTATCGGAAAGAAACCTTGGCCGAGAAGACTGGTAAAACGATGGAACGCCAGCTGACTTCTAACGTATCTGGTATTCTCGTGCGTACTTACAACGTGTACCGACAAACAACTGAACTTTCACAATTGACAGGCGACCACGGCTGTGAAGGTACAATTTCTCGGAATCTCCGCTCCGCTAGGATTTCCATGCTTTTTTGGTGAGCCTGTTCATCGCGGAAAGAGTCATACGAACGATATGCCGCGAATAAGAAATAGATAACGTCACCGGCTAATAAACGAGACGCAACATGTACTACCTGAGGCCAACGTACGAGACTCGTTTGTTGATAAGGATCATTTGCAAGAAAAATCAAATTTATGTACAGTCAGAGAAACGATCCAATTAACATGCCTCGGAAAAAATGTTCAGCTAGATGTTTCAATTTCTCTTCAGCTTAATTACTCCACAATTTTCTATCTCTTTTTGTTTCTTCGAAATCTTTATTAGCGAGGAATTTGCGATGGTATCTCATTTCTGTTTACTCTGTATCTTTTTTCAGATACGTGATGAGAAACTGAGTAGTGTGTACAACAATTACACAGGCACAATGCTACCGGCTAAGTATGCAAATTTAGTGGCTCCAAGTTGAACGATGACGTAACGACAGCTGGATAAGTTTCTCTTGTAAAAGAATGACCTAAAAATATGTACTCCGTTGGTTCGTTTATTATAAAATCTTATGAACTGTGCAGGCAAACACTTTGTCAAACTTTGATTTTTTTTTTTTACTTCTGAACGAACGTGGAATCAAAATTCTAGATATTTCACATGTGGACAACTTCTTGTATGATATTTTTTAGTATTTTCTTAAAATGCAAATGCACGTATTGTATTTATTTCACGGAAATTTCACAAAAGTAATTATTCAGTTGAAATCATTTCGAGAATGTTACAATAAAATTTCAACTCTTTGGGATTAATTCAGCGAAATGTTTGCACCATTAGAAACAATTAAAAATAAAAGGCACGCATGTCTCACGCTCGGAAATTATTACACGCGAAAAACAGCCTATAATTAATAAAATTATTACCTCTATTACAACAGAAATCATCGAGGTATTTACTCGTAATATATTATTTTCTAGCGACCTTCGATTCCTAGGAAACAATGCCGGGAATGTGCTTTCCAATCATGCTCAACTAATACCGTTGAACGAATGATTGCTCGTTGGAT